ATTCAGCCCGGACCGGAAGTACCCGGACATCCGGAACTCACCCACTTCCGTCTAGCTTCGCCGCCATCTTGCCCAACATTTTCCGGTGAATTCGAGGACGGATATGGATTTTTATTACAATGTCGCATGGCTTTCGAGCGTTGTCCAAGCGCTTTTTCTTCCGATTCTGCAAAGAACTCTTTTATTGTGGGACTGTTAAGAGGCAAGGCTCTTAGATGGGCAGAGGCAAAGAGTCGCAACCCTGAGTTTTTATCTGGTTCCTATGAGGAGTTTTTGGAAGAGTTTAAATTGACCTTTTGCAGCTCTGAAACAGTCACGGACATACGCAAGAAGTTGTTACGCCTCTCCCAGGGTCAGAGAACGGTAGCTGACATGGCACTGGAATTTAGGACTTTGGCTGCAATGACCACTTGGAACAACGAGGCCTTAAAAGCAGCTTTTATTGAGGCCCTCAATGACAAGGTCAAGAACCAGCTAGCTCTTTGTCCTGAGCCCCCCACCCTGGAGGGTCTCATTACACTCTCTATCTCGATCGACAAAAGACATAGAGAGTTCCACGGAACTCCTCCATTGACTCCGTCTTCCTCTTCAACACGCCGTCAACCCAGCTCAAGACCACCGTTCCAGGCAGAACCGGCGGAGGAGCCCATGCAACTGGGAAGGGCCCACCTTACCCAGGAGGAACGACACCACCGGCTGAGTAAGGGTCTCTGTTTGTACTGTGGACTGCCTGGGCATTTCGTCCAGACCTGCCCGGCTTTGTTAAAAGGAAGAGCCCACCAGTAGGTCCGGGAGTACTGGTGGGTAGCAGTTTTGGACATTCAACCTCCCGATTCACCCTCGCCTGCTCCGTGATGTGGAAGGGACAACACCACCAGGTCACTGCTCTGGTGGACTCCGGCTGTGAGCAGTCCCTTATCGACCCTCAATTAATCAGAGACTGGGATATCCCTACAGTTCCTCTTCAGGAACCTTTGACTGTTTCTTCATTAGACGGGAGATCGTTATCCACCATCTCACACAGGACTGCGCCGCTCCAGCTCTGGGCTTCAGGTAATCACATTGAGACAATTTCACTCTTTGTGTTTCCATCCCCTCAGAACCGGTTGGTGCTTGGACACTCATGGCTGGTGCAACACAACCCACACCTTGATTGGCAGGAGAACAGAATCGAGGCGTGGAGTCCGACGTGTCACCAAATGTGCCTCAACTCGGCCTCTCCGGTATCGAAGGGCTCCAACACGACGCCGGTTGAGCCTCCTGACCTCTCCCAAGTACCAGAAATCTACCACGACCTGCAACAGGTTTTTAGCAGGGACCGAGCAGCGACTCTGCCTCTGCACCGCCCTTTCGATTGTGGTATTGATTTGCTCCCTGGTGCCCCGCTGCCTTCCAGCCGCCTCTACAGCCTCTCCAAACCGGAAAGGGACAGCATGGAGAGCTACATATCTGAGGCCCTGGCCAACGGGACCATCAGGCCTTCAACATCTCCCCTGGGTGCTGGTTTCTTCTTCGTCGCTAAGAAGGACGGATCACTTCGTCCCTGTATCGATTATCGAAGTCTTAACCAGATCACCGTGAAAGATAAGTACCCTCTTCCACTGCTGTCCTCCACATTCGAGCCCGTCCAGGATGCTACCGTTTTTACTCGTCTGGACCTCCGAAACGCCTACCACTTGGTTCGGATCCGCCAGGGGGATGAATGGAAGACAGCCTTCAAGACACCGCTGGGGCATTTCGAATACTTGGTTATGCCTTTTGGACTCACCAACGCCCCGGCTGTTTTTCAGAGACTGGTCAACGCTGTGTTGGGTGATTATATCAATGACTTTGTGACTGTTTATCTGGATGATATTCTGATTTTTTCCAGTTCGATCGCCCAACACCAGAAGCATGTCAGGGCTGTGCTTCAACGTCTTCTAGAGAACAGACTCTACGTGAAAGCAGAAAAATGCGAGTTCCATGTCTCTGTGGTAAAGTTTTTAGGTTTTGTTCTGGAGAGCGGGCGGTTAAAGGCAGACCCCGAGAAGGTACAGGCAGTGGCAGACTGGCCTAAGCCCACTACCAGGAAGCAGTTACAACGTTTTCTGGGGTTTGCCAATTTTTATCGGCGGTTTATCAGGAACTATAGCCAGACAGCCGCTCCTTTAACCTGTCTTACCTCTACCGCTAAAACCTTCTCCTGGTCCCCAGAAGCAGAAGTGGCTTTTAGGACCCTCAAGAAGAAGTTCACGGAGGCTCCTGTTCTCACCAGGCCGGATCCAAGCCAGCAGTTCACTGTTGAAGTGGACGCTTCTGACACTGGGGTTGGAGCCGTTTTGTCCCAGGTATCTCCCGTCGATCATAGACTCCATCCCTGTGCCTTCTTTTCTAGACGGTTGACGCCGACAGAGAGTCGGTACGACGTGGGGGATCGAGAGTTGTTGGCAGTGAAGTTGGCCCTCGAAGAATGGAGGCACTGGCTGGAGGGAGCAGAACACCCTTTCGTGATCTGGACCGACCACAAGAACTTGACCTACCTCAAGGAAGCTAAACAGCTTAACCCACGCCAATACCGTTGGTCACTTTTCTTTGCTCGATTTAACTTTGTCATTTCCTACCGGCCAGGGTCTAAGAACATCAAACCAGATGCCCTTTCCCGTCAGTACTCGTCTGAGGATGACCCTGTTCCGAGCACTATCCTGCCTCCGTCCTGCGTGGTGGCGGGGCTCACATGGGAGATCAGAGACAGAGTTCTGGAAGCCCTCAGGGTTGATCCCGGTCCTGGTAATGGTCCTTCAAACAGACTTTTTGTTCCTCAGGTCATGCGAGGCAAGGTTATCCACTGGGCTCATACTGGAAAGTTCTCCATTCACCCTGGTGTCGGTCGGACTTTGGCCCTCATTAAGCGCTCCTTCTGGTGGCCGTCTATTTACAAGGACGTAAAGGAATACGTCTTGGCGTGCCATGTGTGTGCCCAACATAAAGGTACCAACCGCTCACCTGCTGGTCTACTCTGTCCTCTTCCTGTTCCGTCTCGTCCGTGGTCGCACATCTCCTTGGATTTTGTGTGTGGTTTGCCCGCCTCTCGTGGTTTCAATACCATATTGACTATCGTAGACAGGTTCTCCAAGGCTTGCCACCTGGTACCTCTGAAATCTCTTCCATCTTCAGCCACCACTGCCCAGCTCCTGATCAAACACGTGTTTCGTCTACATGGGATTCCTGAGGAGATCCTGTCTGACCGGGGCCCCCAGTTCGTTTCCAGAGTCTGGAAGGAATTTGCCAACGCCTTGGGTGCCCGTGTAGCATTAACCTCCGGATTTCACCCGCAGACCAACGGACAGTGCGAGCGCATGAATCAGGAGCTGGGAGCTATGCTGCGTTGTGTATGTGCTACCAACCCCACCTCTTGGAGCGACCACCTGGCCTGGATGGAGTATGCCCACAACAGCCATGTGTCAACAGCCACAGGTCAGTCTCCCTTCGAAGCTTCTCTTGGCTACCAACCCTCTCTGTTTCCCCTCCAGTCAGACTCCACCGTCACTACTCCTCAGTTTCTCCGCCGGGCACGTCGAGCTTGGACGGCTACCAGAGCCGCACTTCTACGCACGGCTGAACGGAACCGGCAGTTGGCGGATCGTCATCGCCGCCCGGCACCAGCCTACGCTCCTGGACAGATGGTCTGGCTGTCCTCCAGGGATGTACCTCTTAAGGCCGCATCCAGGAAATTTGCTCCCAGGTTCCTAGGTCCTTTTAAGGTTGTGGCGGTTCCCAGCCCTGTGACCGTTCGTCTGGATCTTCCGCGATCTCTCCGGATTCATCCTGTTTTCCACGTGTCCTTGATCAAACCAGTGGCCACCAGCCCTCTCTGTCCGTCCCCGGACCCGCCTCCGCCTGCTCGGTACTACAAGGGTGGTCTGGTCTACCAGGTTCGGCGGATACTTGACTCTCGTCCTCGGGGTCGGGGAGTACAATACCTGGTGGACTGGGAGGGGTATGGCCCGGAGGAGCGTTCATGGGTCCCCCGGGCGTTCATCGAGGACCCCTCCCTCATCTCTGACTTCGAGGCCTCAAGGACCACTGCTGGGGCGCCAGGGGGCGCCCGTTGAGGGGGGGGTAATGTCATCGTTCTCGGGTCTAGGTGAGTCCTCCTGCTTAATTAACAATCTTTGGGGTTCTGTGTTCCACAGGTGAGGAGCAGAGAGGCACCAGCTGTGCCGCGTTAAATCATTTGGAGCTCGGGTTTAAGAGGAGGATGGGGACACTACTCGAAGCCGGATGATTGCTCCAGTATTGGTAACGCCTGCCACTCGTACTTGTTTGACCCTCGCATGTTTGGATTACTTGGATTTTTGACCTTGGACTGTTTATTTGATTACGGCTTTGAAATTGCTCCTGAAGCTTCGTTGGTTTGCCCTCCTCCTAGGATTATCACCCCAACCTTCACCAGATTCAGCTAAGAACCACGGATTCTCATTCACGTCTCATCCTCCTCCACCGCTCCTGCAGTTTTCCTCTCTGCTTCCTCACCTCCCACCCTGCTGGATTACTACACTCGTCTCCTTGGCCCGCTTGCCCCGCAGCTCGCTGAGCTAAGAACTCTGAACAATCGCCCTTGGCATCATTCACTGGATTTCAGTGCTACCTAAGTTCCCGTTTGTAAAAATAAAGACTTTAATTTCTTACCTCCTGACTCCTGTGCTGATTCTGCATGTCTTGGGTTAAACGCCTTCCACAAGCCATGACAAGCTGACCATTGAGCAGGATTGATGGTTTATCCCTTGAGGTCCATGTGGCAGGGGTGAGGTGGTGCTCACTCCTCACCCCTGCCACACCCAAGGACCCAAGGGATAAACCATCAATCCTGCTCTATGGTCAACTTTCCTCGTGGGGTCACCCATAAAGACAGTGGGAGGGTTATAGTATAATTGTGACCAGTAAAATGCTTTGCCTTTTGAAAAAGCAAAAGCATGACATACATTTCTGTGCCAGGTGGGTTTGAACTGTGTAAGTCTGACCTGTTTTCAGGCAGTGCGTGTCAAAGTCAGAGCAGCAGCTGTAGTAGGTTTTACACAGATTGTCACATCTGCATCCCGGAGGATCGGCCACCTCCAGCTCGAAGCACCTCCCCTTACAGGAGCCTGCTGTGCTGACCCAATCTGATATACCTGGAAGGAGCAGAGAGCCAGAGTGAAGAAGACTGCTGCAAACAGCCATACACATAGGTTTCAGTGATTCTTGAGTCAGAAACTCCAGCAACATCACGTGGGATGGCACTCTGTTGCCCTCTGCTGACCTACAAACTTAGGTGGCTCAAGTTGACACTAGTGGGAGCTCTACCTACTTTATGACAATAGCTGTTTATTATGCCCTTAACTAATATGAAGGTTAGCAGTTGGCATTTCAACTTGCTGATCATCAATAAACAAACAAACAAACACAGCACAAGAAAAGGAGGAGGCATTATGGTGGAATTAGGCTAGTAAAAGTAAGAGAGTAATGTCTTTAGAAGCAAAGCAAAGAGCTAAATCTAGTGAATATTGGTGCGGTCTACACTCATTACAATATCACGGACCGATGGTGACCTGGCCCTGTTGTTACTGAATTTGTAAGTAATAATATTTTTTTGCTCAACAGTGTGGATCCTTGTAGTTCATGGCTTATTTAGTACCCGTTTGTATCATTATCTGCAAAGCCGGTGCAATCGACAGCAAGCAGAAGGGTTGTTTACAACAGCTGACTTCTGCATTCAACAAGTAGGGGGGAGAAGCGGGAAAGTATTTAGTGTTTAACAATTGTTCTTTGCTTTACTTGCATACTTGATGGAGTGCAACCATCTGCACCAATCTATTTAGAATTCGTTACAAAATGTCTTTATTTGTGGTTTAACTCCATCATAGAAATGAACTAAATCCAAACCAGACCTGCAGAGTGCACTGAATGAACAACATCTGCCCAGGAAACAAGAACAAAAGCCTTTTGTTTTCTGGTGGCAGATCTGTGATGATAAATACAAGCTGTGGGTGAACCCCTAAGTCAGGAGTTTAGTTGCTGAAAAGACTCACCTTTAGTGTGATGTGGTGGGTTGTCTACTCCCTCTACAGGTCGGGAAGCTTGAAACACGTAAGCTATGCTGACATTGGTACTCCACAGGCAGAGCACAGCCACTACCTGCACAAAACCCCAGAATGTCATTTGAAAGCCTGCTTTCGGTTTTTCTACTACAAATATTCAAGGTCAGCTGCTCAGGCATGAATAGAGCTTCATTGTGTGTCATGGTGCACCCACTGAACCAAACCAAATGGCCAAGACAACACATAGGTTATCTTGTAATAAATCAGTCATTGTTTAGTCATTATTTGTTTTGGGAGTAAAAAGACCTCAAAGGCTAACAGCTGTTAAAGCCAGGTCATGCTGAACCCCCTTAACAACCCATCAGGTTGCATTTGAATGCAACTTTATATGTTTGTTGAAGACAAAGTGAATCAGCTGGTGTAAAAATGCCATCAGCTACATTTTTTTTAACAATGTCAGTCAGTGTTTTCTTGCATCCTGTTAAAAAGCCAGATAAGTCTTTAATTTTTGTCCTTTCTATTGTTTATTTTTGTTTTTTGCCTGCCTTCACTGTCTAGGGTTGTGATGGAATGACGGTGCACAATGATGTGTCCATCTAAGGGAAAACTTAATTGGGAAAAGTTTTATTGTGGATTCTTCCAATTTTATTTACATTTTTCTACTCATAAAACATAACTCACTGACACTTTGAATGCATCCGGTTATAGTTGATGTGTGAAACAGGCTGGTGAGACGTCACTGGACAGGAAACCAGAGATGAGAATGGTGGTTTCTCAGCCTTTTGTTAGATGGTGTGATTTGCTTTGGATGCATGCTTCATTGAAATCATATTTAAACCACAAACAAAGGGTGTGTATGAGTTTGCCCGACCAATCTACATGTGTTTGGTAGAATAGGAGAGGGTGTCTGACTGCGTCCCTCTGGGAGCCCTGTGGGGGGTACTTTGGGAGTATGGGGTACCAGGCCCTTTGATAAAGGCTGTTAGGTCCCTATGTGACCGGTGCCAGTACTTGGTCTGCATTACCGGCAGTAAGTTGGGCTCGTTTCCAAGTGAGAGTTGGACTCTGCCAAGTCCACCATTTGTAACCGATTCTGTTCATAAATGTTATAGACAGGATCTCTAGGCGCAGCCAAGGTGTTGAGGGGATCAATTTTGGTGGCCTAACCCCTTCTGTCCACCGGAGCCGTCAGCAGCACGTTACTGCAGTTCGTCAGTAAACACAACAACAAGCAGGAGAAAACTACAACATGGCTCCAAAAGGTTTGTGTTTTATGTTCTGTCCGTTTTATAATCGCCAATACGGACCTGAAAAACAAAGGAGACCGCTAGCTAGGTGATAACTTCTCACGGGGACGCACATTTAGTAACTTTTTTTTAAAGTAAAGCAACCGGAAGGCATTACGTTTTTTTATTCTGAAAATCTCGGGAGCTTCTCTCCGTTTCCGCGTCCTATTTCCTGTCTTTCCTTCCCCAAAAATGTCGAACTTGACCCGTTTCAGAGGCGTCGTGCGTAGAAAATAGAACTGGCGCGTAAAGGCCGCGACATGCTGCTCCTGAGACGCGGCCGACTCGCGCTGCTGACGGCTCTAGTGGAAAAGGTTCTGTTGACCACAGCGGTTCCTATCAGCAGCTATGACGTGCTGCTGCAGTAACGTGCTGCTGACGGCTCCGGTGGAAAGAAGGGGTAAGGATTGAGTCTCTGCTTTTTGCAGATGATGTGGTCATGTTGGCTTCATCAGAACGTGGTTTCCATCGTTCTCCATAGGCGTTCGCAGCTAAGTGTGAAGAAGCTGGGATGAAAATCAGCTCCTCTAAATCTGAGATCTTAAGTCGGAAAACTGTTAGAATGCCTTCTCCAGGTCAGGGATGAGGTACTGCCTCAAGTGTAGGAATTCAAGTATCTTGTGGTCTTGTTCACAAAACTGGTGGTGCATCTGCAGTGATGCAAGCATTGTACAAGTCTGTCGTGCTGAGGAGAGAGCTGAGCCAGAAAGGCAAAGCTCTCAATTTGCCGATTGGTCCACGTTCCATTTCTCACTTATGGTCACAAGCTTTTGAGTATTGATTTAAAGGATGAAATTGTGGCTAAAAGCGGCCAAAATGAGTTTTCCCTGGAGGGAGTCTGGGCTCTTTCTTAAGCCGGGTGGACACTGTGCAACTTTTTCACTCGTAGCCCTCAGCTTCAGCTCAAACAGTACGACTTCCTCGCAGAGCACCGCACGACCCAACTCTTGGATGCGACCTGACTGCTCACACTGTACGTCTGGTAGCAACCAGTCGGACCTGAAAATAGCAGTTTTTATGCAACTTGTTAGACTTTTTTTGAGTTGTTATTGATGTCTGTTGTCCTTCGAGAGTGCTGTAGGAGGAGGGCACACAGGCACTTGTGGGAGTTGGAGGAGGAATACAAAACAAAGAAATTAAATGAATGTTTTATCAGTTTAATTTGACATAAACATGGAAAAAATGTTTTTTTGACAACCCTTGTCATTGTGTGTGAAAAAAAGGTGTGTAAATAAAACAAAAATAGGGAAATAGCTGGCAAGCCGTGTTTTAGTACGGTGCGATGCACTCTCGATGGACATGCAAAAATCAAACACGGGATAAATCCATGCGAGCTGACGACTGCTGACCAGGAGCTGGTCACGTGGTGTTACTCGCCTCTCGTTACCCCCGTTTACTACACGACACTCAGCGCAAAACTCGCCCTGATCTTGTGCATTCTCGCACGTGGGAAAAATCAGCTCAAAAAGTGAGAAAGTCGTACAGTGTACACCCGGTCTTAGAGAAAGGGTGAGGAGCTCAGTCTCGGGCATCTGATTAGAACGTTTCCTGGACGTCTCCCTGGAGAGGTTTTCCAGGCACGTTCAACTGGGAGGAGACCTAAAGGAAGACCCAAGACATAATGGAGGGACTATGTTTCTCAGCTGGCCATGGAACGACTTGGGATTACCCTGGAGGAGCTGGCCCAAGCGGCTGGGGAGAGGGAAGTCTGGGCCTCTCTGCTCAGGCTGTTGATCCTGCGACCCGACCTTGAATAAGCAGGAGAGAATGGATGGATGCTAAGTCTTCTCAAAGCCCAGGTTCTGTAGGAGTTTTCTTCCTGTTTAAAAGGAGTTTTCCTCCCCACTGTCACTACATGCTTGCTTAGTATGAGGCTTGCAGTAAAGTCTCGGACACAACAAGTCAGTGACTCCATGCAATCTGCTGGGTTTCCTTGCATAGGAAACTTGTAAGGGGCCTTGAGATTACTTGTTTAGAATTAGCGATATAAAAATAAATGTAAGTTTATTTTGTGTAAAAAATTGAAAAGATCTAATTAGAAAACAGTTTTTTAAAATAGAAAACATTTCAAAATTCCTTTTTAAAACAGCTTTTGAGTGTTTTTTACATCACTAGTTATTTGTCGCTGTCATCGCTATATTTTATATCGTACTTTATGTGGATTATGTTGTCTTGTTTCCTGTATGTCGTACTCCTGCTGCTACAGCTGCTCAGTAATTTCCCAACTCTGGGATCAGTAGCAATACTTCCTTATACACATTTCTCAGTTCTCCTTTGGTGAGTTCAGTGTAACAGGAGCTAAGAGGGTTGTCATTTGAATTTAAACTCCTATCTCTGGCTCATTTATCAGAGAGCCAGCAACGTGCAGAGGGATGCCAAAACATGTTCCTGCTGTACATCTCGATCAATCACACCAGCAAAAATACATTTGCGGCGTCATTCTGCTCGAAATATTCTCCATCAGAAGGCTGAATCAGATTTAGTCTCATATCACAAAAATCAGCTAAGTTTCCTAGAAAGTTGGTCTTAGCTGACCCACCAATCGGGAAGCACAACCACAGATTTTTGTGAAGCTTTACTTAGTAAAACAGAACATACTGTACATCAGTTTATTTGCCTTTTGGCTTTTTGTTTCCAGTAAAATGTGTGATGCTGTGTGGATTATAATCATTAATGATGTTTGATGACGAGCCAAACTGAGACAGTCGGAAATGAGATCAATCCATGTGTGACCGTTAACCTACAGCGTTTGCTTACCTTTACCTCCCCCAGGTAAATAAATCCATTTGAGCCGATCCATCAACCCCAGTTCAGCTCAGCATGGGTCAGAATGAACAGCAGCCAGTCCGCTGCATGATTCATACCCATCCTAAGAGTTATGTAATTCCTCCTCTCTTAAGGCAAAGCGTGCAAATGTTAGTGAAGCTAAGAAGCTGCGCTTCTCTCTCTGACAGGTCAGTATATCTGTCCTGCAGCAGCCCTATCTGTGTTTTTCTGGGAGGGTGGAGAGGAGGAAGGGGGGTGGTGGGAAACCTTTGGACATCCAAATAGCGGCTATACACCAGAGATCAAGCACTAACTGTGACAGTCTTACCGTACCAAATTGCCCAGTAGCATGTTCCAAGCAGTGAATCCAACTTTGGCATTCCAGAAGGTCCCAAATCTGTGAAATGTGTCCCGAAAGAGAGAATCCTCCGTGCACCTCAGATCGATGGAACTCAGCACAGAGGTCCAGTTCTGTCTCTCTCTCTCTTTTCCTCTCTCTCTCTCTCTCTTTTCCTCTCTCTCTCTCTCTCTCTCTCTCTCTCTCTCTCTCTCTCTCTCTCTCTCTCTCTCTCTCTCTCTCTCTCTCTCTCTCTCTCTCTCTCTCTCTCTCTCCCTGCTTGTTTGCCTTCACTCTGACTCTCTTAGTGCTAGGCCAATGAGCGTGAAGTAATGGTGACAGCTGTGCTCTGGTACAAGAGTGCGTCAGGTCGGGTGGATGCACCAGAGTCCAACACAGTCAAGAGGAGGAGGGGAGGCTCTCACAGGGAGAAGAGGGTTTGTGTAATCACCCCCCCCCCCCCCCACACACACACACACAACAGATCTTTGATAACAGGGGAGCATAAGATCTTGAACTTTTGTGCAATTTAGTAACGTGTGATTATTTGACAGCTGTTTATTTAGTTCCCTGATTTCTGATTCCTGTTTCATTTAAAAGAAACAAAAAATTTAAAATAAAAAAAAAACTGAATCAGACTTTAGGCTAAAGCTGGCTTACTGACGAGTCAGCAGTTTTCTAGGTCAATGCAGAGAAACATAGGTCAAAGGGATTTCAGTTTAAAGGGCATCAGTTGAAAAAGTAAAATGTTTTTTTCTAATTGCTGTTTATGACCAAACAGCTTTAAAAGACAATGCTGAAATGAAATGTTAAAAAGCTCATTATTTTCTAAAGTTAAAACTAAATATTCAGAACTAAGTCGAAATAAATAAAATACAACAGAACTATGTAGAATCAAATCTGAAGTTATAATGGTAAATCTAAATATTTAGAAGAAATAATAGAACACTGAAACCTACATATTTAAAATTAAGTCTAAAGAGATTAAATGAAATTTTAATATGTTGAATCAAAACTAAATATGTAAAGTGACTCCTGACAATTGAGAAATAACTCTGAATGTACACAGTTAAACCCAAATATTTAGGAACGCATCTTAAAATTTAACATTTCACCAAAACATCTAAAATCAAATCAAATTCGATGAAGTTTAACTTAAGTATTTAGAAAAAAAATAAAACATTTTTAATAATAATAAAAAATGCATTAAACCAACATATTTACTTCTACAGTATTCGTTAACCCCAGACTTGTTTTATTATGCTGCTTCCATTTAATATAGTTTAAAACTTCCGCAATATATTCTTACATTTTATGTTTTTTATATTTGTTTATTTCCACCGGATTCCAAATGTTTAGATTTACCTACACATGTATGTATATTTTACTCTAACGTTAAAGCAGTAACCACTGTTGCCTTGCTGTGAGAAGGTTGCAGGTTTAAATCTCTGCATTTCTTCATGGAATTAGATTGTTCTCTTAATGCATGTGTGGGGTTTTTTCTGTCCCAAAGACCAAAAACATGCATTTTAGGTTGCCTGGATATGCTAAATGTTCCTAATGTTTGAATGAGTGTGTGGCTGTGTTATCATCCCTGTGTGTCCCTGTAAGGGACCATAGTCCAAGGTGTCCCCCGCCTCTCACCCAGTGAGTACTGGAGATAGGCAAGAGCTCCCTGTGACCCTGATGAGGAATAAATAGTTCCGTTAAGACATTATAAATATTGACAAAATCTGGTTTTCACTTTTTTGCTGAATCGGTGCCGCATACACAACAAAACCAACTACTATTGTGTGAGAAGCACAACTCCACAGATTACTTGTGATTAATCCTAAAAATGCAAAAACTGCAGAAAACCTAAAGGCTGCTGAGTTTTTAAAGAAACTTGTTATGAGTTTTCTGTCCCTTCTTTCTGCTGACAATCACGAGTCGGGTGTGATTCCTCGTGATTCACTGCAAGAGATTCACAACGGAACAACACAGCCTGCATGATTTACCGAAATTCAGATGGTCAGAGTGCACCGAAACACAACACGTTTCTTCTATAATGTCTTCAAAAAAACTTAAACCTGTCTGTCAGATGGCAGATCTGTGGTCCCTCACACTCTCTGTTGGACGCTCCTCTAGAGAAACCTTACATAAACAAGCGCGTGTACACACACAGGTGCTCACATGGTGCTCTCAAAAGTATGGGCTTGGGCACGTTCAACACATGTCTCAAGGCTGTCGTTGCCACTAAATGCACTGTGATTTATTATTGTGTGATTGTTAAGTTAAACAATGTTTATTTTATATTTCATCATCAGGCTGACGCAGTGATAGCTTGCTCCTGATGTATTGTTGTGTGTCCCTTTTTTTCTGCTCTTCTCTTTCTGCAAGTCTAGAAGCAGACTCTTGTTAATTATTGTTTATTTTTGTGGAACCCCCCCCCCAACTTTTCTCTTCCTTTCTCTTTCACCTCTGTCTCCGTGTCTGGTCTGAATTACAAAGCATTCAAAAACAATAACAATAAAGTTTTAAGTATCAGGCGTGACATTAAAAGCAGACGCTTTGATGCTCCACCTGAGAGTAAATCTGTAAGGCTTGTCACCAGCATTCAGACATCAATTCTGTTTGCTTCACAGCCAGACAGGACACGGTAAAAAAAAAAAAAAAACTTAAACCTTAAGGATTTCAATAATCAATTTAAAGCATCATCATCATCGTGCATCAAGAAAGTTAATCTGATAAATGTTGAAAACGTGGTCCGATTTCATCGTCAGTCACTTATTGCTCCACTTCTTACATGGTCAAGCTCCAGGCAGATTATTCGTTGGTTGGTTGGCTGGTTTGTTTGTTCGCTCGTTCATTCATCCATTTAACGAATGGTTGCATGCTTGTGCACCTTTCATTTCTGATTTCCTGGCAACGTTTGTTAAAAGATGATGTAAGAAGAGCACCAGCAGCAGCTCACGAGTTCAAACCACCCACCAAACATCTCACACCATGATAATCCCACAGCTCAGACACAACACGTAGAGATGAGGTGTTGCTGACATTTCCCTTTCACGTGATTGTGCGTGTTGTTGGTGTTAATTCCCAGTCATCCATGTATAGGTGCCCCATCACATTTTACAGAAAGCTTCACATTTCAGCAGCGGGGTCAACTGCTGGAGGTCTGGGATTAGTGTTCAAGTCTAGATCATCTGCGGTCAAACAGATCTTTCTAATCCTCCGACAGAAACACCATCTTTATTTTGTTGACAGAACACATGTGAGCATTGCCAATGTGTTATACATTTAAAGTGAACATAGCAAATTGATAGAAGCAGTGTGATCTTAACTGTTTTTATTCCTTTCACCTAATGAATATTCTTAGCTAGCAATATTTCTAAACTGGTCTGCTATGTTTTGAAATTTCTGAGACTGTTGATGCCCGCTTTGAGGAGAATTAGCTGATGTCTAAGATTTAGCTTCATTAAAGGTCAACTTTACTCATATTTTTAATACATTTGCAGTGGTTTATAGTAGGAATGAAGATAGCCTAAGTTGTTCTATGGGGATAAAAAGCCTCAGACCCTGTCCACATGTAGCCAAGGAACTGCCAAAACGTAGATATGTTTCTACGTTTTGGCCTGTCATCCACACGAAAACGGAGTTTTTTCACACGAAACGGATCTTTTTAAAAACTCCGGCCAAAGTGAAGATCTGCGTTTTCTCCGTTTTGGGTGTCTGCGTGTGGACGGACAAAACCGGAGTTTTAAGGTCCGCAACGTCACTTTCCACGACAAAAAAATGCTGACATCACGTGTGCGACCTGTGTTTACACTAGCCGACATCATGGAAGCCCTCAGAGCTGCGCTCGCTTTATCAATTGTCCAAGCGCTTTTTGCTTGTTTGTTTTTGCAAGCGGAATTACTGCTCCTTGCGGAAGACCACAGACGAAGGACGAGGTTAAGAACGGGGGAAGTACTGCCGCCTACAGGTCTGGCATGTCCTTAACAACGTATTTATCCGGGTACGTGTGGACAGAGTTTTTTTTTTTTAAACGCGGTTGTCACGGTCTGGGGTTTTTTTTTCACACACTAATTGGTGTAGAGTCTCATCTCTCCTCTGCAGGTGGGCGTGCCTGGAAGTTGGGAGGCTGCAGGTAATCTGCTGATTAGCTGGCCAGGGATATTTAAGCTCCTGAGAGACGCCTTCACTTCGCTGGATGATTAACTCAACTTGGGTATTTCTCCTAACAGCCAAATCCAAACTAAGCTTTGATTTAGAGAATTTCTGGGTTATGGATTTTTGATTTTTGAGATCTCTGTGTTTTTGACTGCTTGTTTTGCCTCCTGCAGATATCACCTATCAGTTCAGCTTGTTTGCTGCTACCAACCTGGTTTCTTCACTGTCCACTCGTCTCTCAGCGTCCTCCTCTGGTCTTCCCACTCCAGGCTGCCCACCCTCCCTCCTGGATCACCATTACCCTTCATGCTCAGCTCCCTCCTCATTTGGACTCCAAGCTCATCAGCCTCCAGTAAGCCTCCTGCCCTCCCCAGACCGGTCACTCCTCCCTCTCTCACGAGGTCTCACCTCCAACCTGATTCTCCACACCCGAACCTCGCTTCTCTGCCGAATACTGCTAGACTTCCTAGCAGCTCCTTCTGTTCTCCTTTTCTAATAAATTATTGTTTGCGATCTTCTTTGACTCTGTGGACTGATTCTGTAAGTCGTGGGTTAGGCATCTACCACACAACATGACAGCGGTGGTGTGGATGCAAGTTTCTGGAGGGGCGGATATTCGTTTTAAAAAAAAACCCGGCTACGTGTGGACTGGGCCTTAGTGTGCCTGTTTGAGGACGTAGATGCCAGCTGGGTGCAGACTGGCTAAAGGATTTGGAGTCTTATTTCCTGAAATGTAGACATCCTGCCTCTGAATGCTAACAGCAACACAACTCTACCACTGACTTCATTTGCTTAGCTATTGTTAATGTTTTATCTCCACAAATAACACAAGCTTGAAGGAGTTCTGCCATGTGGTGGAGTTACTAATGCTAACGGTTAGCTTATATTAGTCTAGACATTCTTTGACGATTCCTGGGCGTTAAACCAACAACAACCTTCCCCACTGCCAGCCAAGATGAGTGTGTACATGAATGCTAAGTGACAGTGTGACGAAGATTTGTCAGGCTTTTCTGAACCAAGCCTATGTGGTTTCTCAGTGA